AAAAAATGTAACGTAAAAATTTTCACTTAAGATTAGTAAAATGACCATAACATTGTTATGAATTTATATATTTTGAACTATCTTTTTTTCAGAATGTAGCTCTAACCTTTCTCTACAAAATGACATAATTTGATCAATAACTTCATACAAGCTTGTTGTAGATATCATCGATTTACTGACAAGGGTCGAAACTTTCTGATCACCCTTTAGAAGAATGATAAAACTCTCATTTGTGGGTATGAACGTCTAGATCCATACCAGCACCCAAATCCTATAGAGATTAAATAATGCATATTCGTGTGTTCGACCAGCTGAAACAAAGTAAAGGATTTTAAATATCAATGAATACTTTCCTATCCGAATCGACCAATTGAGAACTTTCGTTAGCGTTTTCAGGATTTAGTGCTAAATGGGGTGTGGGTGGGTGTGGGTGTGGGGTTTGGGTGTGGGTGTGGGGTGTGGGTGTGGGTGTGGGTGTGGGTGTGAATGTGGTTGTAGGCGTGGATGTGGATGTCCTCTCCTACTCAACACCTACACCCCACACCCCACACTCAGCCACACCCACACCCACATACGCACCCATTCCACACCCACATACGCACCCATTCCACACCCACTCACAACCCACACCCACACCCACACCCATTCCACACTCCCACCCCACACCCACACCCATTCCACACCCACACTCCACACCCACTCGCACCCCACAGCCATTCCACACCCACACCCACACCCCACACCCACACCCATTCCACACCCGCACCCACACTCCACACCCACTCACACCCCACACCCATTCCACACCCACACCCACTCACATCTCACACCCACACCCACATACGCACCCACTCACACTCCACACCTACACCCATTCCATACCCATACCCCACACCCCACACCCTTTTAGTGATCTGATAAATGAAGCAAGAAAACTTTTGTTGCCGATTGATGGTTACGGAGAGAGTCTATTGTTACCATTGGAGGAAACTATTAAACCAGCTGAAGATCTACTTGATTGAGACATTCAAACAAAAATTTATATTGGAAAAGAAAATTGTCGTAGTTCAAAAGATAAATTAACACCTGATGAAATTGCAGCAAATCAATTATATACAATGGCAGCTACACGATCCGGAGAAAGTCTTTATTTTGTAATACATAAAATATTACGAACAGCTGATCGTCGAAAACTACGCCCATTTTTTTACTTATTTAAAATTAATTCTTACTGGTCTATGAAAATTAGAATCATTTAATGGACTAGTGTTTCGTGGTATAGATGGTGATTTGTCAAATGATGATAAAGTTGGTGATAAATTAGTTTGGCGGGGTTTTAGTGCATGTACTCAATCATTATCTGTCCTGGTATGAGAACAATTTCTTGGTAAAACTAGTAGTCGAACATTTTTTAATATTCAATGTACAAATGGAAAAGTTATTCGTGATCATTCGTACTTTGACTCAGAAGATGAAGTTCTTCTATTGCCAGCAACACAATTTTTAATTGTCGGTAAAGTAACACAAGGATTGCTAAATATTATTCATTTGAAAGAAAATGGTGACTCACCAGTTGTCTTATTAAAACCACCATATACCGCCAGTAGTATTGCTAATTTTACAAAATCTGACCTGACAACTACAGGGCCTCAATCTTTTCTTACGGAAGAAAAATTGCAATTACAAGGTCTATCAAACACAACGACTGCAAGTGTACCTATTTTAAAAACAAATATTAGTGAAGAGCTATCAGATATTGCTAAAGATCTTCTCGAATATATAAAAACAAATAAGACAATAGATCTCAAAATTCGATTACAACAGTTATCCGATAAAGACTTGAAATCGATTGCTGAGGCATTAAAAACGAATACAACTGTTCAATCATTGACAATCGAAGATCCTCGCAGGTCAGAATCTGAAAATCAGTCATTTCGGTCGATAGAATATATAATAAATGTATTGAAAACAAATTAGTCGGACACAAGTTTGAATCTTTATGATCGGGAGTGGGATCCTGAGAGAAAACGACATTTCTGGACAAGTCTTGGATGTAAGCACTTACCTGACGTTTCAAACTCTATTGCGCAACTTTTAAGTGTAAATCAGCATATTCGAAGTGTAGAGTTTCAACACACTTCAACTACAGATAATGAATTGCGTAGTATTTGTGAATCAGCAGCCACATTAGGAAACTTGTTTATCTGGGATTGTGATTCACTTACTGTGCAAAGTGCTGTTACATTGGCTGAATTACTTAATAAAACGAAATGATTAGAGACGCTAAATCTATCAATATACCAATATGATGGTCAGTAAGCAAAAATAATTGCAGATGCGTTACATAAAAATAACACTATAACATCATTATATATGCAAAATACAAAAATTGGTGATGAAGATGCTATGGCATTGGGTAAAATGTTAGCAAAGAATAAAACATTGACATATTTGGATGTCCACCATGGCAATATAATAGATGTTGGTGCAATAGCATTGGCTTAAGGATTAAAACATAACACCTCGCTATGAGAATTGAGAGTCTATGGCAATCACTTTACCGAAGTACGTGACAGCGGTAATGCTATTATAAATGCAAAGCATAGTTCACTTAAAGTAAAACTTGTTTCTTAAATTGTTTCTATAAATTTCTGTCTGAACTATGCTTCCATAATTACTATAGTTTATTTTTAATAGTATTACTTAAAGCATCTACAGAATATATCAATGCTGTTTCATTTAGAAATGAGTGACAAATTAGACATTCTAGGAGCATTACTTGTGTTGTTCAGGTGAAAAATATCTTTATAACATATGTAATTGTCTTGATACTTTTATTGATTCATATTGAAAACGCATTGGATTGCCTGCTATTTAAAAAATCAGTAGGAAGTGGGTGTAGGGTGTGGGTGTGTGTAGGTATTGATCTTTCCTTTAGCAACACTCAAACTCACACCCCCATCCCACACCCTGTTCCTAGTAATGTGCAACAATCGACATATCTTAATATGTAAAATACATTTAGTATGTAAGTCGGGGTGTGGGTGTGGGTGTGGGTGTGGGTATGGGTTTTAAGCAGGGTTGCCAGATCAAAAATTTAAAAATCAGAAATTCCGACTATCAAAATCAGAAAATATTCAGAATTTTTTTCGAAAATCAGAAAATAATCAGAAAGGTTAATATTTTGAAATTGGCACTTATTATTTTACCAAACTACTACAAAATGCTTTAGTTGTAATTTGTTCATCTATTCTTCATTTATTTTCGAAGATATTTAACATAAAAAAACAATAATAATAAGAATATGTAGTTCACCGAATATCACACAAACTAGCCAAAGACATCTAGTATCAGACTTTTTACTAAACTCAAAACTTTTTTCACATAAAATGAGCAAAAACAAATCGAGAAATGCACTATATACATCAAGAGATATTTAAAAAAAAGACTCATTCAATATGAGTTCCATACTATTGATATTTTTCATTTTTGCGAATTCGCTGCAATAAATGTTTAGCAGTTGAAATATGTTTTTAGAACTGTTCACACGAATAATTAGCATTCATTCTTATCTTAAGTTCAGCACTAACTAGTTTTATGTCTATGCGATTACGATAATCAGACCATACATGTTTCATATGGCTAACGATTAGGATCGTAATCAATTTGAGAAAAGTCTTCATTCAGAAATAGAATTTGGACAAATATCGCAGCGAAACAGTAAAACCAGAAAAATCGAAAAAAACTAAAAACATCAGAAAAATCGGAAAGAACCTGAAAAATCAGAAAAATCAGAAGGTCAGAATAAAATCAGAAAAAGTTTTGAAATTCAGAAGCTTTCCTGCCATTTCAGAAGATCTGGCAACCCTGGTTTTAAGTAGAGAATGATCTTCACACCGACACACCCACACCCGCACCCACACCCTACAAATATACTTATAGTTACTTAAAAAGGTTCACTTATAAGTACTTTTTGCACTCACTGAAAAAATACTAAAAGTAATTAATAGTAACTTTTTTGGATCAAAAATTTTACATGGATAGTAATGTAAGAGATTTATTAATAATAGCAGCATTATAACACCAGAAGATATAACTTTGAATTGAACGAAGATAATATTGTTTTATTCAGTACGAAAAACAAAAAAATGCCAAGAAAACTGAGAGTGAAGCGTTTCGAAACATTTCACACTACGCCCAAAGTATGATCTCTTAAGTATGAGTGGATCTTGCAGCTCGTCTGAACACCTTATTCAGTAAAAAGTTCATAAATATTCGATACCCTTCAAATATTTTAAGTTCGAAGAAGATAGCTCTTTTTGAAGATTTTTTGCGAGGCAACTTGGCTTTTCATGCCGTCAAGTGGAACTTGATACGGACTTGACAAATATTCTGTTTGAGCAACGAACCGGGTTTTTACGTGGAAACGGGTAGATAACCTTCCATCAAATTTGATCTTGACGCCATGAAAATGTATGGACTTGGTAACATGCAACCTCTAATGAATTTCTTTATTCCAACGTATCGGCTAAGTGTCGATATTTCACCTTCCCAGGGATTATTTTTGTATAGATTCTTATGCAGTACAGGAATGACGAATTTGATTATCATGCTATCCTGATTCTCAAGATACTGTTTCAACAGAAACATTTGAATTATTCTTTGATTCATTGGCAAAAATAGAGATTCTTATACGTCCAAGTTGATGATTGAATCACTAGCCCCTTGTTACTCATGAATCAGTTTTGGGTGAACTCTATCTTGCACTTAATGCATAGCCACTAATAAAATTTCTTAAACCAAAGCAATAAGACACTACTCAACATCACGTCAGCTCTGTGCCCGAGAAACGTTGTCAATCATTGAATGTTAAGAGTGTAAAAATAGAATCAAAACTATTATATTCGACATTAAGACAAGGGTATTTTCCATTGAGGAATCTGATTTCATAATTAGATAGAGCATAGTCGAACACATACAATTACATAGATTTTACTTCTCTTAGGATTTTAAACTGGCCGAAAACAAGCAAACAATTAAGCTCGAACAATTGATTCTATGATTTTTCACACTATTCTTCTCACTAGCAATAAAAAAATGAAATGTTGTTTTTCTGTTTACTCTTGCATCCCTCAAGCAAAAGACATTCTTTCTTTATGATTAGTGAATCAACTAAGAATGGAGAAATCTGTTCGTTGTCGCGTCACACATCATTATTTTCCTATAACCGTTTCCTGCCCTGCTAGAGTCACTCGAATCATTTTTTTAAATTTAATTTCAGACCGCGATAGATACTCCTAAAATGTAGATGGTTTAAATCAGAAATATAGAGAGTGAACGGGGTCCTGCTATGCTAGGAAATTTTTACTTTTCGCAGTGGATATCTAACAGAGTCTTGGTTTTTGTTCACGTATTTCGCTAAAATGATTCACTTCTCTCGATTGGGGTCTGTATAGTCGTTTAAAAACTCATTTTTATAATCGATTTCTTGTCAAATGGAACTCTGATAAAAGCGAGGGTAGTGAAAGTTTCCGTTTGTTTGTCTAGAGAGTCATACATGGAAAAATCCGGAGTTTTTCAATCAGTATCAATAATGATATAGTTATTTGAGTAGGCTAATCTTTAATCGCTAGATCGACATCATCATGTGGTGTTTCGACCGATATCAAAACGATTAGAAGCTGTCGATAAAAGCATTACTTATGGTAACCTTTATTGTTCTGGCATGGACTATTCAATAATAAAAGTAGCGATAGAAATGATTTTTGACGGTCCCAAAGACAGATTCACAACGAACCAGTAGATCGACATATAATATTCGTTCACTCTGTTCGAACATTTTGCTCGTATTCGAAACCACTCAATCTCAATCGGTCAGATCATCAACATTGGTTGAAATCATTTCTGACATTGAACATCCTATCTCTATTATCGTTTAGCTGATCCGACGATTTGGAAACAGAATATTCATCGAACGGTCGTATTGACAATCGATGACGATTGGCGCCTCGTTATAATGCTACTTAACATGATCACTGTTGTTGATTTCCTATTATAGATTCCAAACAAATAACTGTTGTTAAGTAACAACTGCTTAGTGTCAGATGCCGTGGTTACATACATCATAGCATGATGTCGATGGACAACTACTGATTAATTTTATTTAGTAGCATTCCATTCAACCTTGTTCGACTGCTCAACCAATAGAATCGTATTGATTAGTTTAGATTCTTGAACAGAAATCGTTCTTAAAAATCATATGTATCATTCTGATTGAACAATATTGATCTTCTTCTGAAACGAGACCGATAGTTTCATATATGGCTTCTCGACTGAAGTGCAGATGATTCTGTGTTCGTTTAATGTGTTCAAAACACAAACATATCTTTATCGAGATTGACGATATTCGAAATCGATTCAGCAAAAAGAAGAGGATATTGACGATGATCAGAGCCTTTGAATAGTAAGGCATATGTAACTGCTCTGTATAACGATGTTGTTCAAACTCTATTATGAAAACTGTCTTAAAAAGAAACGAATTCTTTGCCATGCTTTTCTTCACTTACTAATAATATTTTTCTTTATCTTTATAATAATCAGAAATGTAGTGCTTTTAGCTAAAAAAAATTTTAAAGAATTTTTATGCCGCAATCATTTTCACAAAAAAAGGGACTGATAGATGATATGATCGATTTTCAACATATATTTTTTTTTGTGTGACTAGCTACAAAAGTTAATAGCACACATTGACCATGACCATTTCTGATTCTGAGCGACATCTTTTAAACAGTACTTTATCTCTCGAGTATACACTGTAAGCACACAGATATAGACTATTTTTTTTTTGGATGCTATTGACAATACTTGACATGATTCTGGTATTTATTTTTGCTTATCAGTATTGTTGAACTTGTTCGAAAAATCTGCCATTACTTGGATTAGTCGAATTTTCTCCTCTGGTTTGTAACCTTTGCTTTTTGTGTTCCTCTATGTCAATATTACTCACACCTTTACCGCTACTATTTAAAATAACTTTATTATGATGCGTTCTACTTCATGCAAAGAATGGCGCACATTACTTCAATACATTTCTTTGCTTTATCACTGATTCTTATAGTGTCATCTTTTATAGACACTAGTGCAACGATGCAACAAGAATTTTATGAACCTTATGCTACTGTATTTCTTTATTCAGGTCGTCCAAATCCACATTGGCGATTGTCACTAGAAGATTGGCAACAATTAAATCAATTGATTCAAAAATTACCACAATTAAGTGATAACAATGGTTCTTATCGATTCGATGGCAATTTAGGTTACTCAGGGTTTTATGCCCATTTTGCAATTGTTTCAAGTTATCCCGATATTTATTATGTAGCTAAGACACATCAAGTAGTTCTATCAAATCCTGGCGGACATTTAATTTATAATGATGAACAGAAATTAATAGAAAAATGGTTTATAATTAGTGCACAAAATCATAATATTCAATTACCATCACTAGTCTAAACACTAAAATGATGTGTAGTATTTAAATAAAACTTCAAATGAAGAAATAAAATATGCATGGTAACGATCTAGGGTTAATTGTAGCCATCAATGCACAATGAATATTGCAGAGATATTGTCAGAAGGAAGATGATGGTGACAGTGAGTGAAGAGAAGAAGACTCATTACTGTCGTTCTCAAGATAGAACAAATCTTCAGTAAAAGCAAACGATCGAATATTCATTTCATCGTTTTTGAAACTCATCGTCTGAAAAAGATCTGAAAGATAAATGTAAAATGTTGAGGAAACTCAAAGTATCATCTATTCATTGATTCCTTAAATTAACGTTGTAACTTGAATCTAAAACATGAAGTTCTGAGAAAATCCAAGGTATCATTGAATCTATTGGTTGCTTGAACGATGAGTTGAAATTAATGGGGAAAAGAAAAACAGTGCTTGTTCTAGTACCTAAAAAAGACTCTCTGGTAACGTTCGGAAAGTCTTGTTCATGATAGTTGGCACTGCGGAGAAAGACGAAAAAAAAACAAATGAACTCTTATTTACACATAATAAGATAGCGTAAGTATGCAAGTCAAGCTCATATTTCAGTTAAAGACATCGACAAACAAGAAGGAAAAATGGAAAAAGATAAAAAATAAATGTTCTAATGAGGTATACTCAAAACTTTCCAACTGACAAATAATTCAAGATAAAACTCGTTTTTCACCTATCGAACTATTTAGAATCCAAAGGAGGACTATCAAATATCTGGGTTCAAACATTTGATACAACACAATGTATTTTAATTTTTAGATTTTGAATGGTAGCTCTCCTTATTTTAACTGTTATAGGAACCTTGATGAACTCTATAATTATATACATTTGCGCAGTTTTATGAATGCATGATAGAAAAACTCGATATTCTCATGTGCCTGATAAATCGATTCAGATAATGATTTATGTTCTCTTGAGTATCATCTATGCCTATTCGATAGTTAAGCATGTCTCGTTTATAATTGCTTTAGGATTAAGCTCTTTTCGTTACTGATTTAATTTTCCTTATTACGACGAGCAAAAGAAATAGTTGTAAAAATACAACAGAGTTTTTAAAATCATTCGTAGCATTTACATTGTTATTACGTTGCTGTTAGAATTTTTTGATAACTTGCAAGAAAAGTGAGACACATGAATATTCAAAAAGATTAATACGTTAAAAAGAAATAGCGAAATTTCATATTGTCCGGTTTATTATTGGTAGAAAATAATCCTTTCTTAAATAACACATCATGATAGTTATGCAATAGCACGGCATCAACGAAAAAAAAGTTTATTCTCTAAAATGACAGTCTAATTTTAATTTTCGAATCAAAGCTTAAAGCTATGCCGGATGTGGGTGTGGGTCTTCTATTTTATCACACCCTCATCCACACCCATATGTGTGTGATAAAGATTTCAGTGATATCCTCAATAAGTGAGATGTGTGTATATATATGGTGATGCGAAATCTCGAAAAATTCGAGTAATATATATCGATTCGGATGACTTTTTTCTCACAGAAATTTTTTTTCTCCAAGTTGAAATGATTTCTCACAATATACTCACTGATCGTTAAAACCTATGTACTTTTTAATGATTTTGCACTTCGGAAAGAAATTTTTCGAAGATCGCTGATTATTAGCGAAGAACTTCGACTTTTCCGAAATTTTTCAAATTTTTGATCGAAATTTCACATAGATGATGTTACAATTGTCAGCACAAAAAATTCAGCAAACCAGAGGCTTTAACACTCATTGAGCACTATATCGTGTCAATTCTAAATGAAAAACTCAATGATTTTCATCCAAATTCTATCAAGTTCATTCAGTAAGAAATCTGTTTTTCATGTGGAATCACGATTTCCAAGCACCCTCAGCAGAGAGATATGTGCTGATGTATGTGTGTCAAAGATTTCCGTGGCACCCTCAATAAGAAAGACGATGTCTAGATGTATAGTGATGCGGAATCTCGAAAAATCTTCGACCAATTTCTTCCCAAAGACTGAAACAGTTTCAAAATAGGTTTTAACAATTGGAGAACATGTTCTTAGAAATTGTTTCAACGTGGAGGAAAAAATCTCTGTGAGAAAAAATCGTGTGAATTGATATTTTTGACTCGAATTTTTCAAGATTCGGCATAAATACACCTATACACACGTGTCTTTCCCTGAGGATGAAGATGCCACGAAAAGATTCATAATACACATCAGCACATATCTCTCTAGCTGAGAGTGCTCGCATACCGTGATTCCAGATGAAAAACACATTCCATACTATATGAATCGCAAATGAGAAATTCAAAGATTTTCATTCAAATTCTATCAAGTTCACCCAGGAAGAAATCTGTTTTTCATGTGAAATCACGATTTTGAAGCATCCTCAGCAGAGGGATATGAGCCGATCTGTATGATAAGGATTTCTGTGCCACCATCAATGAGAGAGACGTGTATGTATCCAGTTTTTCAGTGACATTCAAAACAACATAGTTTTTATATTTCAGCAAAATTGATATCTTATAGCGTTATGTACTAAGTTTATCCATATCGATAACAACTTCACGACGATGCCTATCATATGAAATAAAAGTAGTTGATTAGTTTTGACAAATAAAGGAGTCAGAAGAATTTACTTTTCTCGGGGACTATTGGGGCAACCTGTACCTTCGAAACAAATGAGCGATCAATTGTTCGCGATGGCATTGATAATTGTCTGCAATGTTTTACTCTTTTTCATTGTATTGTTCCCTCTTCTTTCAATTGATTTCATTTCTTATCTTCTCATTTTAGTTTTTTGTATTTTTGTACTTAAAATTGTAATGCAGAGCTATGATAAGTGTTTACGTTCTAACAAAATAACACGAAACGCGTCGGCGAATTAACTCTGCATTTCTTTAATTATTTTATACTTAAGTACAACGTTTATTCTCTGAATATTTCGACAAATATCAATTGCTGAAAAGTAAAAGTTGAGATCACCAGATTGAAATTGTCTTTTCGTCAGGATAGATAGGTCAGCCTATTTTTTCATTATTCTCTTTCGTGCCATCTCGTACCGGTACGGTACACGTGGGTACGGTTTTGGTACCACATACCGTCAGTCTCTGTTTTGAATACAATCACATTGAACAAAGACAGGACTACAAACGACAGAGTATCACAAAGGGCACTAGTACAATTCGTCGCGATCAATTCGTCGCAATCAATTCGTCGCACGACAATTCGTCGCGATCAATTCGTCGCAATCAATTCGTCGCACGACAATTCGTCGCACATGTATTGTAAAAAATACATTGATTGAATTAAGTAATTTAGTTTAAAATGTTATACAATTAATCGCCTTAACAAAAATATTTCTTTCGACTCATAAGAATCTTTTTTTCAGAATACATAGTTTTTCAAAAATAAAATAGAGATGTCAATTTAAAACCCTATTTTAAAATTTAATTAAAAAAATTGAAGTTTGATTTTAGATAAAATTCTATGTAAACACATTAAAAATAAAGTTCATTTTTTTCAGAACAGCTAAAATTTTGACACAATTCATAACACGTGATATTTCGGTACCTATTTCACAGATACCATCATCAGACGAAAAGAAAAAACCACCAACAACAAAAGCATACATCTATATTCATAGTATCCATTTATTTTCACCTTTATAATGATACTAATACAGCAATGAAAATGAGCACTAATACAATTCGTCGCACGACAATTCGTCGCAATCAATTCGTCGCAAAGCAATTCGTTGCATATGTATTGTAGAGAATACATTGATTGAATTAAGTGATTTAGTTTAGA